TTTCTAGGTCTATGGTTATTGATGGTGTCACCAATCTCATGATATGACATAATTGAATTACTTTAATGTCATTGTAATTTATGCTCTAGGTTTTTTAACTTCTGTTATCTCACTGACCAATACTTTCTTTGCATGAGTCAGATAAACAAAAGAAACTCAGTTAGAACTACTGCACTAGAGTTCATGTTTCTCTACATCTCTCTGCTTTATGCATTGTAAGTCTTAATTTCAACTTTTTGAATGGTAATGGTATGTAAGGTAATGTAAGTTCGTGGTGAGAATGCAGGTACATTGAATTTTATGATGTGATGTCAGTGCCAATGGCAATTGCTCTTTCTGGCCAACTGCTTCTTGGACAACCTGTAATGGTTAAACCTTCAGAGGCTGAAAAAAATCTTGTTCAGTCTAATACTACCAGTGGAGCTGCAGGGGTAGCAGGACCATATGGAGCAGTGGATAGGAAACTGTATGTGGGGAACCTTCACTTTAACATGACTGAGGCTCAGCTGAGAGAGGTAATCGGTTTTTTTCATCATTTTTTCTGTACATTGACTTAGGGAGGAGCAATGAGATGTATTTGACATGAATTCTCTTACTGTGGGTAAGGAGTAGAGAGGACTGATGTTTATTGAACTATTTTTAACATAACAAAGTTCACATCCCGTCATAACCAATGAATTAGTTTTCTTGAAACTGGAACAGTGCATCAACAATGATATGTTAAGTAGCTTTTTAAGAAGTGGAATCTTGATTTATCACTCATTAACTTTTGTTGTTTCTTTGCTGGTTTAGATTTTTGAGCCGTTTGGTCCAGTGGAGCTTGTTCAGCTACCCCTTGACATGGAGACAGGGCATTGCAAGGGTTTTGGCTTTGTGCAAGTTAGTTATCAACTTTGACAGATTACTAAAATTGACTTTGTGGATATAGTAGTGTTATTTATCCATTTCATTTATTTGGACAGTTTGCTAATCTCGAACATGCCAAGGCAGCTCAGAGTTTAAATGGCAAATTAGAGATTGCTGGCAGGACTATCAAGGTGACAATCCTTATCCCTCTTGTGTGTGTTCTTATGTGTTGATGATCATTTTGCTAGGTCTTGTTTGATTATGTCTTTCATGCACAGGTTTCATCAGTGACAGATCATGTTGGAGGCCAAGATACAACTGCAAAATCTGCAGATTTGGATGATGATGAGGGTGGATTGGTAAGTTTAAACTTAATTGTATGAAGTACTGCAGAATTGCTTCACACTGGAGGAATATAATTGGAATCTTGCCAAAAAATATTGCAGTCTTAGTTAATACTGAGAAACTGAAAATGTTAGTATCTTCTTGATGCTGCTTGGCTGGGTGGGATTGTGTTTTGATATTACTTGAGTGGCTACGATTATTTGAAGATTTGAATTAAATGTGGGCAGATTGCCATGACGGTTGCCGTATTTCTGACAAGTTTAATGAAGTTTTGGTGTTTTCCAGAATTGATGCCTTATTTTTTGGTGTTAAAATCGCACAATATTTTTCTTTGCTGTCCTCCGTAATTGAATATATTAGACGAGTGCTAAGAATGTTTTAACAAATTAGTGTTGTATTTTCCCCTTCTCTCCATGTTCATTAGGCTTAGGTTTGACATAGCTAGCGTTACTTCCAGCATTCCCTCTTCCTGGTCTGGTTACCTGTCAGATTTCCTTTTATGCCTTATCTTTAAGTTCGGGCCATGAGTAGGAGCCCATTGTCCTGTTTCTTCTTTTCCTCCTTTGGTGTTCATTTAACAGTGGCCTTTTTTATGGGGGGAAAAAGTAATTGACTGATATATTATGCTTTTTATATGCAGTCATTGAATGCTCAATCAAGAGCGATGCTTATGGCAAAGTTGGATCGCTCTGGTATTGCTACAAGGTTTGTCTATACCTACATATATATGCATGCGACTATGCATTTCTATCTGGTCATCTTCTTTATCAATTTAACAAATATGAAATGCTGCAGCATTGCAGGGTCTATGGGTGGTGTGCCTCTTGTGAATGGCTCAGCCCCTGCGCAGCAGGCTGTTAGTTTGCCAGTTGGGGGTCCGGGTATAGTACCTGCATCAGCTCTTCCAACAGCCATTATGCCTACCCCAGGAGCAGAGCCAGTTGGAACCCCCAGTGAGTGTTTGCTGCTGAAGAATATGTTTGATCCAACTACTGAGGTTTGCTTTTTCATGATATGCCGTTTCAGTTGTGCAATAATGTTGCTTTTGCTTGCTAATACTGATCTATTTTTATAAACAGACGGAACCAGATTTTGATGAGGATATTAAGGAGGATGTAGCAGAAGAATGTTCTAAATTTGGTCGGGTTAAGCATATTTATGTTGACAAGTAAGTATCTGAATGCATGGTAGTCATCCGCATGAATCTATTTTGTTCTTCTATTTTGAATGGCAAATGCAAATTGTGCGCAACTCATTAATTGGTCCATCTTTCATGCAGAAATAGTGCAGGTTTTGTGTATCTACGGTTTGAAACAGTGCAAGCAGCTAGTGCTGCTCAACAGGCAATGCACATGAGATGGTTTGCCCGCAGGTTGATTTCAGCGCTGTTCATGGTAATACCATACTGCCTTTATTTGGTTTTCTTGCTTGGCATTTTAGAACTGTTGTGATGTAGAACAATAACTAGAATGGGGAGAAGAAAAAGAAAGAGGGAGAAACAAAGGAAAAGATAGGGAAGTTGGGGGACAGAACTGAATTTTTCTAATGCTGAAAATTTTCTATTCCTGCGAAGTATAGATGATAAATAATAAAGCATCACTGGTCAATCGAAGCAGGTTCTGACTAGCAGTAAGCCAGCTATAACTTGGTTTATTCTGGGGGCATAATCCATGCTTTTGGTTTATTCTGGGGGCATAATCCATGCTTGAATTGATATGCCCCTTTGTTGGGTGTCTTTGTTTTCATCATGTGTTGCTGATCATTTCATAGATGGATAAAAATATAGACGAGTCTTAAAAATCTTGGTATTGTGTCATTTCCAGCAACCTCAGGCATATGAAGCGAAGTTTAAAGGAGAAGCTTGAAGAAGTGCTCAACATTTTAGTACTTCAACGAGTGCTCACAAATTGAGTTATAGTTTTGGTAGACTGACTCATGAATTGTATTCGATGTAGCAAATTGTGATTTCTATTGGCCAAGAATCCATTGTGTTATCTACCGGTGATATTAAGAATCGTTTTGGTATAGCCCGTTTCTGTAATTACACTATCGTGCTCCTCTTCATTTTATTTATACTTCTGGAAAATTAGGTATAGGTTGAGTGAGAGAACGCGGTAAATATGAACTGTATCATGGGATGTTCAGTGGTGGGTCAAAATCACAGCTTTTAAGGTTTCTAGTACGAGTTCTAATTTTAAGTTATCTTGACTTGGGCGCGTGAATAATTTGTGCTCAATAATTGAAGTTCCTGGAAATAACAATTTAGTTGATAACAAACTCATGGAGTCTGTCTCTTCATTTTTCTGGAGAAACATCATCAAAGGTGAATCATGGACCTGTAGTAGGTTGAATCCTTATCCCAAGAAGGTGATGATCAATTGCTTTTTGTATTCCAAATGCCCAATACCAATGGATTGTTATGCCATTTGGGCTTATAAGGATCTCCTTGTAGGTCGTATGATAATGTTTTTTTGAATTTTTGAATTGTTCGCAAAATCTCTTTCCATCGATTTGATTTTTTGCAGATAAAAATTTAATTATTATTTACATATAACTAAGTTGTCATCAATGTTATTTATGAAAGCCCGAGTTATTCAAAGTGTCACTTATAATTAAGTTTGTTTTCCTTCCTAATGGTGTTATTTACAGAAAACTCAAATGTTACCATGGTAAATTCAACTTGGTACTTATAGATGCCTGTATTGTTATTTAGTGGAGCGCATTTTGTTATTCATCAAAACCCAAATCGTTACTTGCCCAAAATTAAGTTGTTATTTACAGGCAACTAGTTAAGTTGTTATTTACTAATACCTAAATTTTCATCTACTTCAAGCTGCCTTTTACCTAAGTTATTATTTCTGTAAATCTTAATTATTTATATATAACCAAGTTGTTATTTACATAAATTCAAATTGTTATTTGCTAAAAATTTTGTTGTTTATTTAAACCCAAAGTGTAAGCTAAATTGTTATTTACAAATATTCAAGTTGTTGTTCTTGTTTTGGACATGGTTATTACTCATAGATGATATTGTATATTATCATCATTTCACAAGGTAACTCTAGGTCCGAACTTAAAAGGGCAATGCAACCGTGAGTCCAAATCTATATTCTTTATAAAAGGATTTAAGTTTGAAAAAATATCGAGTAGTTAAAGTTATATATTTAATGAATTTTTTAATTAATGCAATTTAAACATATGTACACCCACAAATATATCAATGTTGAGTTCAGGATCTCATCTAAACATGGCGTGTGGGGTTGTCGCGAGGGTAATTAGCTGTTGCAAATGGATTTTTTTTAATTAAATCAAAACAGTGCAACATTATATTTTTAAAATATGTTAATGTAATTAATTATATGGAAAACAATGGGTAGGAATCATTTGTTTTAATTTCATTGGAAAAACTCAAATAAAAGTGGGTAGAGATTTGTTTTGTAAATTCGATTTTATTTTCTTGAAATATATTACAAATTTAATTTTTTGTATTTTTATTAGAGGTAATTTTGTTTGAAGTGTTGTTATATACGGATACCTCTTTCGAGTGGGTTTTTTTTCCCCCATCACTCTCGAGTGGATTTGCAAATTTGTTTTTTGTTTTTTGTTTTTTCCACCAGCTACAAATTTGCTTTTATATGCATAGATGATAGAACATTCGAATTTTTTGGAAGTACAATTAATTTAAACATAATAAAGTTGGGCAATCAAAAGTAGCCCAAATGTGTGGGTTAGGTCCATTAGGCCCATTTCTTGGTTTTGCTTGGCGGCCACCTCGGCGATAAGACAGCGATCTCATAGCCCTACTCCATTGGTGTGGGACGAAGCTTTCGGAGTCTAATTTCAAATCCACAGTGAATCTCACAAGGATCGAAGGAGTGAGTGGTACTGTCGTCTCCTGTGGTCGAATCTTCAAGCGTTCGCTTCCAACCTGCGCGCACAAAAACGGTAAGAATAACTTGTAAATCCTAGAAGGCATGCTTTAATTTTGTTCGTATTTGGAGATTCTAGAACGTTGTTTAACACCTCATTTCTGAAACTAGCGATTTTGCTGTTTGTGTTTTTGGCGCTGGGGAACAGATGGATAGATATCAGAGGGTCGAGAAGCCCAGGGCTGAGACTCCTATAAACGAGAATGAGATACGCATTACAACTCAAGGCAGGATGAGAAACTATATTACTTATGCTACCACTCTCCTACAGGTATTTCCTTTATCCGCATCCAAAGAGCTAACTTTAAGGTCAATGGTTTTTTCTTGGGGAAGAAGAACTTTTCTAGTGTCTGGGTTTTAAGATACCGATAGTTTTATGTGCCATATTTATGCTTTGGAGAGAGAGATCAAATATATTTATTATATTTGATTTATTTTAGTCTCTAGAAAACTTATCCCCCGCAGTTTTATTTCCTTTGCGGGTAGTTGCACCCCCCCACCCCGGGGCGGCCAAAAATAAAAAAGATTGGGCTGATTTAGCTATTATGTTATCTTCTCCATTTTACTCCTCTTGAATTTTCTGCAGGAAAAAGGATCTGATGAAATTGTTCTAAAAGCAATGGGCAGGGCTATCAATAAGACTGTTATGATCGCTGAACTGATCAAGGTGGGACGGCAGGCGTCTCTATATTTATGTTACTGCATGGTGCTATGTTAATCAGTTTCTCTTGCTTGGAGAGTAATCTGTTTCCTTGTTTCAGCGAAGGATTGTGGGTCTACACCAAAATAATGCAATTGGTTCAACTGACATCACAGACATGTGGGAGCCTCTTGAAGAAGGCTTACTTCCGTATGGAATTGTTTTTTGTCCCTCCCTTATCAAATGATTTTTTTTATTTTTGGGTAGAGAGTAGTGACCCTTCTGATTTCCCTTTATCCCACAGTTTGGAGACTATTCGCCATGTTTCTATGATCACAATTACTTTGTCAAAGAAGCAGCTGGACACCTCCTCCTCTGGGTAAGAAATTGTTTAATATCCTCTGATACGACTAAAATTACTGTTAGATGCTCTTTTGTATGGATAATTTATAATGGCTTAAATGTTTCAAAGCTGTAGGCAATACATCATAAGTTAAGATCATCTGTGTTAATTTCAGTTAGGAATCATGATGATGGCTTGAGCTTATATGTAAAATATCTTTTTGGCTGCTTCTGACATCTAGTGATGGATGTTGTAATTGTTGCTTTGCTTCGTGAGCTTGCAATATAATTTTTATTGTTTAATTCTTCTGTCATTAAAATAGTTGGAGCATATATGCACAATAGTCCATCCTGTTGTGTTGAGTTAATTTTTCCAGAAAAAAGTATTGAACAAACAGCAACTGCTGCGCCACTACTTTGTTTCTGAGTTAGTGATGTTTGATGCTCCAATGTGTTAGCCATATCTTACTATGGATGTCCGATATAATATGACTGCTTTAATGGTTTGGCATGTTTGGGATTGGAGATCCCTTTTGAAAATATGGTTGACTAAAATAATTTACCCTAGTTCAAATAAGTTCATGGACTTATTTTTTTTCAGAATTCATCAGATCTCCAATTTTAATAAGGTCCTTTTCTAAAATTTATAGAACCTTCTGTATTGTATTTTCAGAAATGGCTGATTGTCCCCTTGATTTTATGTTAAGTTTTAAATATTGGAGGCGTGTGTTATTCTATAATTATTACAAGTGAGATTCTTAATTGACCATTAATTTTTTCTGTCTTTCTAGTCCTGTGTTGGGGAGTAGATGCGATGTCCTAGATATTGATTTTAAGAAACAGCAAAAGAATGTCTGATAATACTGACCCGCCCATTTATATTTTCTCAATGTCCTCTGGTTCTAATTTTCTTGTAGAGATAAAACGCCTCAATTCCAAACATTTGGCAGTGTTCTGGTCTTTGGTGTTTGTTCTTTGTCATTTTACAATGTCCTCTGTCTCTATGTTTCTTGTAGAAATAAAACACTTCAATTCCAAACATTTTGCAGTGTTCTGGTTTTTGATGTTTGCTCATTGTCACTTTACAATGCTGCTTTCTGTTTTATTGATTCCCCTGCTGGATTGTCATTCGTCTTTTGTGCATGAATAAAAATTAGTGATGGTCATCGTTTGATCTTTAATTTTTATCATCTCCTATGAGAAAATATTTTGGAAGATGCTAGCTCGCAATCCATTTGTCCTTCTGTTAATCTGTGATGACAGAAGACTTATCCTATTGGATGAGAAGGATGGTTTCTTATTTTGTTTATATATTGGATTATGGCATTATCATTTAGGTTTTGTAATTAGTTGCTTGAGGTAACTTAGATATTAATTAGGGATTCAAACAAAGGCATTTTGCATGGGGATTTTTCATATCGTCGTATCTCCGGGTTTTCTTGCATTCTTTCTGGTTATGCAGCATCATGTAAGGTCTTCCGTGCTTCTTACATGAGTACTGTTTTTGTGACCTTTTCCTAACATTTTAAGGATCCCCTCTCATGCAGATACCAGCCTCCGCTTCCAGCTGATCAAGTAAAACCTTTAAATGAATATGAAGAGGAAGGAGGTGAATTGATAGCTGTTTTGCTTAAAACGTAGAATGCTTATTTGGATACTATGCCATGAGTTACTTAAATTTGATCTCATGCAGAAAGCGCACCAATGGGTAGAGGAAGGGGTCGGGGTCGGAGTCGTGGAAGGGGCAGGGGTAGAGGTATTACCAACCACTTTAACTGTAGTTGGCTTATGGCTGTAGCCTAGAATTATAGAAACTCTCTTGTTGATCTTATTATTGTTGGTTTTAGCTTGATTCATTTGTTTTGTTTGTTGGAGTTAGCTTAAATTGCTCGCTAGAGTGATTATGTTTCATGTACTTAGGACATTACAATGGAGGCATAGAATATTATGGAGATGGATGGGATGGTGGGAGAAGCTATGGTGGAGGTTATGGTGGCAGAGGCCGTGGCCGTGCTAGGGGTCGTGGGAGAGGACGTGGCTATGGGGGCCCATCTGTTGGGTACTATGATTATGCTGAATACGATGCACCACCCGCACCACGTGGTAAGCTTACATATTGATGGTGTCGAGTCTCCGACACATGGAAGATATATGTTGTGCCTAGATTGCAATTTTATTGTATTATCAATATAATTTTGTTTTCAGCCAAAAAAATTGTTTATGCGAGGTGGATTCTGGGATAACAAACGGTTGTTATTGTTGCAAGTCAATGTCATGATGAATGGATGTGTTCGTATTAAGTCAATGTCATGTAAATTATGGTTCTGTTTGCTTTACAGAGGCATCTCTGACGTCAAGCTTCTGATGAAAAGGACCAAAATTTTTCTGATCTTATTCCACAAGCTTTTTCCATTTTCATATTCTATTCTTTCTTATCACATAAAAATGACATTTCTTGTCCTCGTACTCTCATAGGGACTTAGTGTGCACAGTGGTAATTCTTATTGCTGGTGGTTTTGCAGGGCGTGGCCGTGGAAGGGGAAGGGGCCGTGGACGTGGTCGTAATAATAGATTAGATGGAGCAGGTCGTGGTGCTGCTGCATGATCATGTGGGCTGCTTATTATCGTGTATATTTTCAGTTGGAAGTTGGTTTTCTTCTGCCTAGTTCCTTGTGAGATTTGCTGATATTTTGGTATTTATTTGGGGTCTAGTGTTAGAGCCTGGTCCTTTGCAGTTTTGCCCAAGTAATTTTTTTCCCCCCTTACCTTCTCTTTTGTAATCACTAAGTTATAAATTTTGTCCCAATTTTCAGTAGTTTGCAGGTTAGGCTTATTTACTTTGTGTTAGAAGATGGAAAGTGTACAATTTCTTTTTTAATAGGAGGAATTATGTTAGTGAATTCTTTCAATTTTTACATAAGTGGATGTTGCATTTACAAAGTGTAGTCTGTACCCATAGCATAGGATTGATAGTTTTGATCAACTTTGAATAATCGTTATGGAGTCTTTGGTGTGCTTCTAACTTGAAAGCCATTCCAGCTAAGCAAGTTCAGTTGCTGAATGAAAGGTAAAACTAGAAATGAAATCTTGTAAACATTAAAAAAAATATTAACCTGCCGCCAATAGATGCAGGCTCAAAAGAGCATTTTTGGATCAGCGTTCCGTTCATCCTTCCCAAGTCCAAGTTCGAGAGCAGAAAATCACGTTCAACTTGGGGAGCCAAACCAGATGCCATGGTCAATGAACAAGGTTTGTGAGAGGTTTCACTTCGCAAACGCGTTTTTTATTGGATTAACGTTGATGGGAAAATACTCTCGTTTTTCAGAAGACCAAAAGAAGCTTTTGCAAATATAAACAAGTCATTTTTGCTTGGTTTTATGGGTCTCCAATTTCCACCACATACTTTCATTTGAATAAGGTGACCTGACTTGCCCCTGTGGAATGTAAAAGTATAAGGTAAGGCCAATGTCTTTGTCTCGATCCTCTCAACTCAGTCTCACTTCCATCCAAAGAATATGCAAAGCAGCAGAGAAAGTTCAGTCGTAAATTACCCCAATTTGTTGGAAGGTGAATTCAATAAATTCAAACATTCACCTTGAAATCTTAGCTCACCATGTCGTTTTATAGGCTCTCCAGATTACTCTTTCTTTGTCAAAACCTTTTGTTTCTTTTTCTCTTAGTACAAGAATTAAATAATTAATTTATGAATATTAAAAAAAATTAGTTAAGTATATTATTTCTGAGAAATACATGCCATTTTCTCTATAAAATACTTGTTTTAATCATGTGTATTAGAATTAACTTTGACGAAAATTCTTTTAATTTGTGTAATCAATAATGATAATTTGAAAAAAAATAATTATAAATTTGAAAGATAAAGTGAATTGAAATATAATATTTAAGATCAAAATATAATTTTTATTTATTTCTTATAGTTTGGATTAGAGGGAGTATTATGTGCATAAATAACATCTTGGGCGATAAAACTCAATCATCATTGAGCTCGTTGGTTCGATTGATAAATGGTGACTTAAATGTTGATCTGTTCTATAATATTTTAAAACCAACTCAACAGAAATAGTTAAATGTATTATAAGTGAAAACAAGTCAAAAATAACAACAATCAACAAAGCTTAGTATTTTTATTTTTATATAATTTTTCATACAAAATATCAAATAATTACAGTCGATTATACACCAATTTGGCTACGGTTGAATAATAAATTCTGAACTAAGCAAAACTTAGCATTTTTATTTTCACAACAATTTGATTCGATCAATAAGCAAGGGTTGCCTGTCCCATTTTGACAAACAACTCAACTTATATTTCTTTGACTGCATTATTACATTGTGCGTTACGTTGATAGTACTTTACATGAAACATAAGTTTGAGTTGTACTATTCGTTATTTGTAAGCAAGAAAATCCATGGGTTCTTAAGAACAAAAATAATGGACATCAGTATTGTAAATCTAAACTGGGATGGGATTTGTTCAAATGAATCCTGCAGAAAGTGAGATTGTAATAGAAGCTTGCTGATTTACACACCAAAATCTAGCTTGGGCTGAAGTAACAATAATAAGTCAATTGGATATTAATTTAGCCTGCTAATTAGGCTTATATCATAATCAAAATATAATGGATAGAAAGAAGATAAAGAGAAAATTACATGAGGTTTTAGTTCAGAAGTTGGCCTTGATGATTCTGTTTTTATCAGCTTCAACAACAACAGGCATGGTGGTTTTGTAAATACTCTCAAGCGATCGATATTTCTTCTGCTCCTTCATGCGCCGAACAACGACAACCTCGTCATTCCCGAAAATCTCATGAATTTTCGCACAAGTCGCAGCATCGCTCAAGCTTCCACTTTCGTCCACCTCTTCTTCTTCGTCTGCGATTCTCTCCCTCTCCCTCTTCTTCTTCTGGTGGTGGTCGTCGTCTTCGTCACGGTGCTGCCGACGATCGGCCGCTGCGACGTCGTTTCTCACTGTAAAACCTTTCTGGGTTTTGCTTTTGCATGAAGCAGACGCTTCTGCCATTGCCATTAATCTGTGTTTTGCTTGGTAATAATTAGCACTGAGAAATTTTGGTGGTGTATATATATTGTGTGTGCGTGTACGTGTGTGTATGTATTATATATATGTGTGGGTGGGTGTGGGGGAGCGTGTTCTTGAGGGTACGAACGCGTTATTTCGGAAATGGCTAATAATGAGAAAGTGCGACGTTGGTTCGCTGAACATGGCAAAACGTGCTCCAAGAATCATTAATAATAATTAAAGTTTTACTTAGCCTCGGCAAATTCTAATTAGTCAAAGAGAAATGAAATAGGAAAAAAGAATTACTGTATGGATTTCGGAATAATGCTTTAGGTGTATATGTGTGCATAAATCCTAGATAATATATAAAATTAACCTACTTTTTTTTTGGTCGGCATATAAAATTAACCTACTCACTGTTAAGTTTACTAAATAATCCTTTTTATATGAAAATATGGAGCTTAATTAATTAATTAATTGCAAGGGTTTCACACAATCAAGATTGTCCACTAATAATATACATTAGACATTGTGCTATTCATGAATTTTTTTTATATCTAATGCAATGTGAAAAAAAAAATATTGTGTAATTAATATAAAATCTCAATAACTCGTTTATAGAGTGACTGATTCCATTAATTAGCAAATATTGATTTGAACGTGAGACTTGATTATGAGACAATTCGTTATGAATTGGATTAATATTTATTGACCCAGCATGGATACTTTGCCACATTAACAAATAATTAAATACTGGCTATTTAATTTATTGAATAGAATTGATTCATATTATGAATGCGAATACAAGTCTTTAATTTCTTGGGCATCTTGCCTTTTCAAGCTGACCCCTATTCAGCCATGAATTGAAATAATCAAAGCATACATGTTTTGTTGTCTTGTGGTGTGGATATATATATAATGAACCCCAACAGGACTGCGAAAAAGTCCATATAGACTATGTCTTCATTATTTCTATATATATATGATTTACGGTTTTTATCAAGTTCTGAGAAGATTGAAATAATTGTTTTTATCTATCTATTTATGAATTAATATAATCTTTAGTCTCTCAAATTGATCTCGGTCCTTCAAGTTTCAAACTATAGGTTTTGGTCCCTTTAGTTTTTTTTCATTTAAAATATATTTTCATTTAAAACATGGGTCCTTATAATCTAATAAAAATTTCATCTAAAACATTAATCCCTATAATCTAATAAAAACTTAAACCATTTTACCCCGTGAGGGACTAAAATCTATAGTTTGAAACTTGAGGGACCAAAACATGTGATTTGAAATTTGAGAGATTAAAACCAAAATAAGGACAAACTTAATGGACCAAAGATTATATTAACCTTTTATTTATTCCTTCCCATCTTTCTATTAATAAGAGAATTTGGTTGGAACTACTTAATTAGTGTATACCCAATGCATCTTTCGTTCTTTGCTCATTTATCTTGAGGAGGAGTTTTTAAGCGATTAAGCTCATGGTTAAAGAGAGGTGGCTTAATTAATTATACTTTATCAGAGAGAAATTTCAAATACATCAGAATTAGAGTTTGAGATCCTTAGACAGAAATTTAATCCTAGTTGATACGTTAGTTCATTTTCAAAGTACTTTTATCATACGTGACGAAGGAGAATCTGGACGTTTACTTTGACCAGTCAAATTAATTAATTAAACACAGTACGTTCGTAGTAATGTACTCTGGTCCTATTTACAGGACAGAGAGAAAAAGTTTTTTTTGATTCTATTTATAAGTCACTTTATTAAATTTTTAGTATGAAGGTGTTATTTTGTTTTTCATTTATTATAGTGTAAATAGTTTTTTTTTTTAAAGATGTATATATTAAATATGGGTAAAGTTAAAAAATTACTATATTTTAATAGAGAGTTAATACATTTTAAAATTTTCCTTGATCAATGTAAAACATATTAAAAATACCTTATAAATAGGACAAAAGAAATATATAACACACATATAACTGTTCAATTTAATTGGCATCCCAATCAAACGACTTTGACTGGACTCCAAAACATCGTAAAAATAAACAAAAGCTCAACTAACTGGGACATCTTCAATCAAATTAAGCAAGCTCTCCCGTGTGGGCTCCTTTTCAAGAATTTGACTATTTTAAAGACAAATGCTCGCCAGTTTTATGTTAGTCTCACGTACACGTGAAGACTTTCATGACGACCATCATATCGAGGAGATCCAATATCAGACAAAACAACACAATTGGTTTCTATTATATTTGGTCATTATATATATGTATATATTTATATCATGGTACCAGAGTTAACACATATTTTGAATAAAATATTTCTAAGCAAGCGCTGTTTCAGACATTCAGTAGTGTTACGATTAATATAAGGAAATAAAAATCCAAAATGCGTAATATATTCTAGATTTTGCAGAGGGAAGCTAATAATAATATTATATATGTCGGTGTATGTGTGAATATATTCTTCATTTCTGATGGTTGAAGAAATATATTAATATAAAACTGATACTACTTCCGGTCCTTAATATAAGACCCTATTTGACTTTTATTTTGGTCATAAATATAAGACCCCAATCCACTTTGTCTCTCATATTTATACATTTTTTTTCCAAAATAGCACTTCTAATAATGATAGTTTTAATTAATACACTTGATTAGTAAGGATATTTTAGGAAAGACAACACTTATTTAGAACAAATAACTAACTCAACTTATTTTATTAATCTCCTCAAATTAGTCAACTGGCTCTTATAATTAGGACCGGAGGTAGTATAAACTAAATGCATCATTATTGATTGAATAGTGATAATGGAGTTCTGGAACTAGCGAGGCATCTAATTACACAGGTTCTGATACATCATATTGCACGGTTACGCTGTTCACCTTCGCTGCGAGCGCGGTGTCTTCATCAGGGGGAAACTATACTGTTATATGCCACTATAGAATATTTAAT